CGCAGAGACTAGCAACGGCTTATTGGTGAGGGATTTACGGGTTTGTTTCCTTTTCATTCACAATTTAAAGTGACTCATTGCTTTTTGGTTCTGAAGGATTGAAAATGCAGAGTGGAGCAAATGATGAATTCATTGTTTACTACTGCACAGTAATTACTGAAGCACCTTATGTTAACTCAGCACTTTTTTCCCTCCGACCTGAGATTCTCCCTAGCCCATGGGTAAAATGGTTCATTGTCAAGACACCTGTAAAAATAAATGAAAACGATGAAGGCCGGAATGTAGTGATTGTCTTTGAGTTGCTGCTGATGTTCTGAAAGGCAGAGTCCTGAGTCAGGTTTCCTTGTACCACCCCTGATTTCTGCCCCTGTCACTGCTGCCCTCACCCCTCACCCCTCACCTGATCGTAGGTTGGCCTCTCTCATTAACCCTAAAGAAGTCCAAGGTGGCTGAAGTTGCTGAGGGATGCGGTGTCTTGAGCTGCACCAACACTGATATAGTCAATGTGGGGACAGAATGGAGAATGGAGGTGAGCACCCCTTCTCTCCACACCCACGCTTCTCAAATTGTCAAATGGGTAAAAAGGAAAACAAAATATTAGCAGCCAACATGTACTGTTCATACCATCCTCAGAACAAACCCCATCAGCGTGGTGCTATCATGATCCATATTTTACAAACGAGGAAACTGGGTCTTAGATAAGTCAAGCGACTTGCCTATGGTCACCGAAGTATTAGAGCTGGGGTGTTAATTCCAGAGCCTGAACTGTTTTATCCTGTTCCCGAATGGACAAACTCAGAATCTGACAGAATTAGGAATCTGACATGGAAAAAATGTATATATTAATAAGTAGTTATCAGCACTTCTTCATTTTCTAGAGGTCTTCTGGGATTGATGGTTAACTCTAGGTCTTCTGGTCTTCTACAGAATTTGTTTTCTCCCAGACTCGAAGAGCGGCTGTAGTTAGGATCACTGCGTCACCTGGTGGCCGTAACGGGAACTGCACGTTCCCTATAGCTCGAGTCCGGGCTTTTCCCTGTGCACCGAAGTACTGTGTGTGGGTCTGAAATCCCAGAGGAAAAATTCTGCTAGCACTGGGCTTGACGCAGTTGGCTGGCTGATCTCCAGGGCCAGGAGAAAGAAGTCTTTCATTTCCCTTTCTTGCATTCCCACTACCTTGGCTGACGATCCTCTTAAAAGAGATGGGTACTTCATTCAGGAAGTGGGCCCTGCAGCACACAGCCTGGAGTTCCGTTCTCTGCCCTCGGCTTTCTTTCTGAACCCTCCGCACCCCAATCCCACCCTGCCACACGATGTTGGCTATAGCTGCATCTGATTATTTTCTTTCCGTGTTATTCTCCTCTGTGGGCAGAGGGAAATGTGGATTCCTTGAATTAATTTGCTTCCAGAGTTTCATCTTTGCTATTTCAGCCAAGCTGATCTTATCTCTGCCACATTATAAGCTACAGGACCTTGGGCAATTCACAGAACCTTAATGAGCCTCTTCTGGAAAAATGGGGGTAGGGATATGCCAAGGATTTTTGTGATGATTAAACGAAAGGCTGCATTTAAAAGCATGTTGTAAACTGTAACTAAATTTGCAGGTGTAGTTGTTCTCAACCAGTATTTCTTCCTTCCTGCTGGTAGTAAGAGATAATGCCCCGGAGCCCTGGGTGGATCAGTTGGTTAAGCCTCTGCCTTAGGCTCAGGCCATGATCCCAGGTCCTTGGGATGAGCCCCACCATCGTTGGGCTCCCTGCTCAGCAGGGAGCCTGCTTCTCCCTCTCTACTCCTGCTCCCTGCTCGTGTTCTCTCTCTCAAAGAAATAAATAAAATCTTGAAAAAAAAAAAGAAGAGAGAGAGAGAGAGATAATGCCCGGTCTAGACAATACATCTCATACTCTCTTCCTCTTTACAGAAGAGGAACACGGATCACCATAAGAGACGAGAGCGAGGTGGGGGAGGTGGGAGAAGAGATGAGAGAGCTTCCATAAGGAGGAGGGAGATCAGGATCGCTTCTTCATAATCCCATCTAGGGAATGCTGCTTCCCCGTTTGTTTAGGGGTCTAAAAAGTCTGTTACCATGTTGCTACATTCTAGGACTTGGGGTTTTAGGGTTTGCACATCCCTTCTACTTATGGTCACATTTAATCTTCACCATTATCCGGAGAGAGGTTTGAGAATACCCGTTGGCCCGGTTGACAGATGAAGAAGCTGATAATCAAAGAGGTGAGATGATTTTCTTAAGTTCTCAGGGTGGCAAAGTTGAGTTTAGAACGTGGGTCTTTTGATTTCTGTTTGGTGCTCCTTCAGTCACCACTTACCAGGTTCTCTCTGTATAGCAGGGAACAGGGGCTTCCAAACTTTCTAAACCATGAGCCACAGTAAGAGATACATTTTGCACATTACACATATTAGTGTATAATTGAAACAAAAGCATTAAGGAACAACACCTACCCTGCTTGGGTACAATGCATCCTATCCTGTCTTATTCATTAAAGAAGTGCTATTCACAGCTCATTAGATTGACTTATAGCGCGCTAGTGGATTGAGACCTGCAGTTTGGAAAATACTGATCTAGAAGGTTCTCAAACAATCCCCACAGGACATGTGACGATCACAATTGCCCATGGTCTCAGATATATTAGGAATCTGAGGGGATGAAGAGAAAAGTAAGATGAACTCAGAAAGTTTCACTGACTAGAACATATTATCAAATGGATCGAGCAAATTAACTCTTAGAAATCTTTTGAAATATGACTTTTAAAACTCTAAGATAACTGCATCACAGTTCCTGTGTTTCTGCCACCTTGGGAGTACAGCATTTACCACTCCAATCGTTTCTGCCTCTTTCCACATCAGTGTCCACCCGCCTAACGTCCAGCCTTAAAGGAAGCGGCTACGCCTTCATCCGGGACATTGTGCATTGTGCCTGATGGGCGCTCCATAAATATTGGTTTACTTAATAAATAAAAAAAATGAATAGCAACCATCCCGCATTCGCATTACTCTCACTATTCAATGTAACTTTAAGTTAAAAAACCAATGACTTGGTCTATATAAGATCCATGATTTAAAAATGAGTGACTATGAGCTTCCGCCAGCAGGAATACTACCCCGGGGAAATCCAGGGTCTGAGTAGAGGGAAAAATCATGAAGAAAGAAGGTGGAACATGTTTCTTATTCGTGCATTTATTCCTACTGTCCGGCATCCTGCAGAGGGGGTCTGTGCCCTTCAAATAAAGCCACTTCGTAATGAAGCTTTTTTTTTTTTTTCCCTTTTCCTTTGGTGACTTGACTATCCCCTAATTTAGTTGAAGCCTATAGAGTCTACAAGTCTGACCAGTGCTACTTGACTGTAATGCAAGAGTGTGAGTTTTGGCCCCTGGCTACGTTAGAAATGAAAAGTGTGTGGCAGGCTTTCGGCAGTGCACCTTACAAGCTGGGGGTGCAGAAGGGGGTCCTGGGCCCGAGTCCTTGCCACAATACCAGGACCTGCTGGATGAGAGTCCGCGCTACACACTCCGATGACCCCAGAGAGAAAGTCTGCGCAGCCTGAAGCAAAAGGACAAGCCTTCGGGTCCACGTGGCTGTCTTGCCTGTAGGTTCCCAGCAACACCAAGTGCCAACCTCTCTCCCTGACAAGTCAAGCAAAGACTCAGAGTCCCCAGGGACCCACAGGAGGCTGGAGCAACTGCAGGCCCCCTGAGCCATGGAGGGGTGTGTAAAACAGCAAGCCTCCTGCCACTGCCTCTGGGAAGGACAGGGGACTGCATGAATGCCCTGTTCCCTGAGTAGAGAGTGTGCCTATACAACCTCCACTGTTACACATGCTGAAGGATGCTAAGAGAGATGCAGGGAGGGACAGCTGGATCCGTGCCATCTCTTTGTTTTGCTCTTTGAAATGAATGGGGGGGGGGGGGGGGGAGGTTGCATTGCAGCCCTCAGGGTTTGGCTTTGGATTTTTGTTTGTGAATAGTCATGAATAATGAAGCTACCAATAACAAATTAAAAGACCAATATGTAAAATAGCAGTTTTATATTTATATGGTGATTTAAAAAATAATTTTAAAGTGTTTTCTAGATATAGTAGTATTGCTTTATTCCAGGAAATAGAAATACTTTTGAAAAATGGAGAGTGAACATAATGATTTAAATGTATGTGAAGAAAATGAAAAGAATATGAGCTGGAGGTCCAGGCAGACCTGTGTTTGAATGACAGCTGTGGCCCTTTCTAACCTGCGTGACAGGGGTGACTTGAATGCAAAATCTCTTGATTCTCAACCTCCTCATATCAAAATGGGAAAATAACATTTACCATGCAGGACTGCTGTGAGGATTACATAAAACTATAATCAATTAATTTATTAAACCAATTAATTAGATCTCCTTTTTCACTTTTAATGTAGTAAATATGTAATTTTTAGTATGTAAGTACACACACATGTTTATATGTCAGCTGGTACGTATGTTTCAACCGGTTTTATAAAAATACGACGCAAAATATTCTTACCAAAACCCTTCCGGGCTTACTGAAGCAGAAAAGAGAAACATATAGTATTAACTTTATTTTACAGGTGAAAAAATCAAGTCCCAACAAGAGAGTGAGTTAATTACCCAACCAAGCCTCAAGTACAATTTTCTAACTTCCAAGTGCTGGTTGGTCGTAGAGTACCTGATGTTAATTCTTACACCAGCGCAGCGACTGACAAGCGGAGGATGGGGTCGGTGGGGGCGCGGGACATGTGTACTTGGAAGAAACATTCTCAATGACTCGGTCATTTTTGTTTTTAATCATGACCCTTCATTTATTTTGAGCCGTCAGAGAACATCAGAGGGGAGCAGGGGCCCTTTCTGTCTGCCACACGGGGCGTGGGATGGAAGAGTGCAGCATCCCCCGTTCTTCCCCCCCCCCCCCCCCCCCCCAGGCTGACACCGGCCCTTCGAAGGCGGACATTCCTGCAACCCAAACCCCAACACCGCGCGGCCGACACACCAACCTTTCTTTTCCTGGGGATGGGCTCATCGAAGAGCAGGTTACTGGCCTCCGCCTCGTCGATGCCGTCGTCGGGCGGCGGCGGCGGTGCGGGGCTGCGGAAGGGCTTGAAGCTGTCAGCGGACAGCGGCGGCGACGGCGTGGACGGGTTGGACTGGTCGCTGGGGGCGCTCCAGCTCCAGTAGCCGCTGCTGCTACTGCTGGAAGGCACGCCTCCTCCCTCCTTCCAGGATCCGCTGAGGCCCTCTGTGCGTGCACACAAACACAGCGTCAGGGCGAGCCCGGGCAGCACCCGGTGGTGGGGCGGGGGAACGGGGCAACGGGGGCAACGCGGGCCTTGATGCTATGCTCTTGCTTAGCAACGATGCTGATGCGTAGCAAAGCGCTTGCAGCCCACTCGACGGTGTGCAACGGTTGGGGATGTAAGATGTACTCTGAACCTCAAAAGAAAAATCGTGTTGCTTTGTAGTTTATAAACATTTAGCTATTTAATCACACAGCAGGTTTTTCTCACAGGTTTCTGATGTGTGTTCTTTTGTTCAACACTAGTTTCTCAGGATGACAGTGGAGATTATATGAAAATAAGAAAAAAAGATGTTTTTGTTTACTAAGTTTGGGGAGCTCTTGCATTTCTAAGAAAGAAATCATTGGCAGCGGTCTTCCCCCACGCCTCATCCCCTATTTTAACTTTTCAAAAGAAATTTCTCATAGTTCTGTGATCCTTGCATTCCGTTTATAGAAGAAGTTAGCCTAGGATTTAAGAATCGAAGAGAATGATTTCCAGATAGTTACCTACGGCCATCTACCTTATTATAACAGCTGCTTATTCTAACAAATAACAGGGCCTTACATTTGGTGAGTGTTTGACCTCTCACAGAGCTCCCTCACACAATCTCCTGCGTTCTCACGTCTGTCTCTCAGAGTAAGGACTGTCATGCCTATTTTACAGACAGGGATCGTAAGGCACCTAGAAGTTAAGTGACTTGTGGCATGACTAGTATGTAACTCAGGTGGGTGCCGGGCCCAAACCCTTGTCTACCCATTGGTCTTTTTCATGCATGTGGGCCCTGTGTTGTGAGCAGTCTCCTTTGTCTCCAGCAAAACTGAGATCAGAGGAGAATTTATTGGTAATAATGACTGGTAAGACTGGTGTTGAATTTTGCCTTTCCACTTGTGGGGAAACATTATGAAATGTTAGCTAGTGTAGAGAGATCTTTGCCCAGTTAGAATGTCTTTGGGGGGGGGGGGCTCTTTAAATCACTGAAGATTTGCTTTACCTTTCAAGCTGCCCAATCTTAATGAGCATTTGTATAAATTCTACTTTCTTCTTAAGGGATAATTTCTCCTTCATATTTATGTACATTTTGAATATATCAAAACTATATTCTAAGTACAATGGGGAAAAAGTCTCAAAATGCCTCATTAAAAAAATGTTGCTAACATCTCTGTAATTAGTAATGAAGGCAAATGGTAGAATAGCATTCAAGGAGAAATTTCTAAACCACCTTCACATAATTATGGATTGCTAGCATACTCCTCAACTATGTCATATGAAAAGTTCACTTAGTGGACTGAAGTTTGAAGTTGAAATAGGAGGAGTAAGTTACCCATCTCATTAAAGCAAGGCTCTAACAGAATCCAGTGGTCATTTATGCAGGCTCACACCTTGCCAGCCTCAGCAAAACCAAATTAGCATCTCACCCCTGCAGTCTACGCAGAGACTGATGCACTGACCAGACCTGAGTTGCCTACTGTAAATAAGAAAGCTCCATTCAATACAACACGACCTCAAGAGGAGCCTGTAAGGCCTTAGGTAATATTACCTGGTGTGACAGACTCACTTGGCAGGCTTATGAGGCTTATAAATATACTGTGGCAAGCACTTGTAAAATAAAATAAATTCTTGGTGCTAGATGTGTCATCGGGCTAGGTATGAGGAACTGAATTTATTTTGAAAACCAGCTATTATTACAGTGTAGTTACATTGCTTCATGTCAATGCCAAAAGTTAATTTGCTTACTTGTGAATGACCCTTCCTTTAGAAACACTATTTAAACAGAAGGACAATGTGATATGGAAATAAACTTTTCAGAAAAAAGTCAGAACCAATTCAGAGTCTTTTTAGAGAACAGTATCTTCTTTTCTTAAACAAATATTTGCCAAAATGTAGACACACACTGTTGGTCTCTTACTCTCTTTGCATGCCTACATCCAGACAAAACGATCCTTTTCAGACACAGAAAAAGAAGACAATAGTTTTCAAAAACTCATTGACATACAGTAATTCTGGATATAACCTTTATTTCTAAAAAAATTATTAATTCCTTCATTTTCATAAACTGCTTTCCCTTTTAAACAATTTGCTTCCTGTTGCAGACTAAATGAGAGATAATAGACCATTTGGGATTATTAGTTGAGTGGTTCTTTTTTAAATCGTAACAAACACTGAATTACTTTCTTTGTAACTATGCTAACAAAAGTTTTCATTGAAGAAGCAAAAAGTTTATTTTGATTCTAACCTTTTAACACAAAGAACATTAAAGTGTTCTCAACTAAAAAAGAACACAATGGTAAAAATGATGATTACAGCAAAAAAAATACTTTCCTCTGCGATTCCTTTTTCCTATGATGGGTTTTGGGGATGCCTTCAGTTTTGCGTTTGCTGTAATCGTTCTTCAGTGGCATTGCCAAGCTGAGAAAGGTAAGTCAGGGTAACTGTTTGCCAAGAAGCCCAGAGAAGAAGGTCAGGTCATTCAACAGGGGTGGTCAGGCTCATTTCAAGAGCATCTTATGCCCCAGTTGGATGGGAGTAAGTGCGGGTGAGGACTCACTGGATGTTCAACATATTTAACAACTCATGCTGATAGTCAAATGATGTGTGAACCATAGCTCAGGGCCATAAAATTGACTAGGCTGGCTTTGAAGAGAAGGTTTCATTCAGTGGTCTCAGTGCACTACATTTCAGTGACCAGGGGTGGTCCGCTGGGAATGCTCTTGCCAAAACCACCAGTGACCTTGTACTTGATGCAGAATTCAGTTCTTTCTCATGATTGCCCTTCTGTAGCCTCAGAGGTTCTCCTTGAAACATGCTTTTCCCTTGGCTTGCATGAACCACACTCTCCTGGTTCTCCTCTACACCTCTGGTGACCCCTCAGGTCTCCTCAGGCTCTTTTCCCTCTGCTGGTCCCTTAGAGGATGACGGGCTTTACCATCCCCCTTAGCTACCTTCTCGTCATACTCTACCTCTACACAGTCCCCTCAAAGTGATCTCATCTCTTCACGTGGCTTTGCAATGATGCCTTCCAGTCCCGTGTCATCAGCCCAGGTCTCTCTCCTGGCTTGTACCCAAATCTCCACCAGACAGAGACCCTTTGAAAAGTTCTGCTGACTAAACATGTCCCAAACTGGACCCTCATCTTTTTCAGCAACCCTACCTCTTGCCCTAACAGTCACCCAAAGATCTATGACCCTGCTCTGCTCCCATCTTGGGGAGGGGCCTCCTTCTGAAGCACATGGACGGCCTGGAAGTCACCCTTGTCGTTCCCTCTCCTTCACCTTCTCTGTTCATCACCATGTCCTGTCGATTCTGCCTTCTCCACGTTTCTCAGTTATGTCGTCTTCATCCCCACTGTGACCACCAAGGTCCAGGACACCCATATGGTTGTGTTTTTTGTATTTGCCTGTAATCCTGAAAATAATGTCCCAGCCTATCACTTAATAGCTGTCCTATAGCATCAGACTGATGTCCAAACTCCTAGCCAGGAATACATGGCTTCCGTTGATTGCTGCTGGGCCAAGCTCTCTAACTTCATCTCGGCTGCCCTCTTGATTTATCCTATTGAATTAAAGGCGCTGATATTATATCATGACTAAGATAGCAGATTTGGAATCAGAAAGATATGGAATGGAATTTCAGCTCTGCTATTTACAAATCAGTTAATCCTCATGTGCCTCGGTTTACTCATCTGTAAAAGAGTGATAATAACATAGAGTTGTTGTGAGAATTATATGAGATGAAGCAAGCTTAGTGCTCAGCATATAATAAGTGCTGAATAAATGCTAGCCATTAATATGACTGATAGTTTTTTCCCCCCATAGGAATTGTACAATATGAATGATTGAGTATGGACACTGTTTTCAAACCATCTAGCATGGTATCTAAGAAATATATATTGAATGAATGAATGGACTGCATACTTCTATTTGATTAATATTATTATTCTATTAGGATCATACTTTTTCAAAATATTTAATATTCAGAGTCCTTTGATCCAACTGCCTATCCAATCGAACAGAAATAATGCTGGTGAAAATAACTTCATTGGACCAACCTCCATTTACCTGGGAAAAAAGAAGCACAAGCACTTTAGGATGTGTTCTGGAAAGGTGCCAGAGCTCAGCAAATGTGAGCTGAATGGACGAGTGTATGAATGAGATGCTGGGAGGTCTCTGGGAAGATGAGGAGGAAGATGATAGCTGTGGGGTCTCCATTGCTTCCACAGTTCTCCTTGCTTTCTGCTCATGGGTGGTGGTTAAACTGTTCACTGTGTGTGTGATAGAAACGAGATCCCTCAAAGAGAGGCTCTGCTCTTGGTGTCAGGGGGCCCTCCCCTAGCCCCACAGCCCAGGCTTACCATTTGGCCGCACAGGTGGGCTTCGAACCAAAGGGCTGGTGGACAAGCTGGTTAGTACCATTGCTGCTGTCACCTTGTCCATGTCCAGTTCCTCTGAAGATTTCCTGTAAAATAAGGAGGGGACATTGTTACCTGTGCTCACTCCATGTCTCCTGTGGTCCATTATGGGCCCTGTGGCCCACACGTACCATGTGCCACATGCTACTATACACACTGACTCTTTAACTTCACCCCATAGAATCCAAACTTTTGTCAGCTTTATTGAATAGATCAGGAATTCTGCGGAGGTCCAGAGGGTAAGTGATCCGGTCACAGTCCTATAGTAGGAGGAAGGGAAGGATTCATTCATTGGATAGTCACCTAACAAGTGTTTATTGAGAGTGTACTCTAGGTTAGACCTTGTTCTAGGCACAGGTGACGCATGGTGAACAACAGACAAGGCTGGTCAGGAGAAACACAGTTATCGGGAAACAAACAAAAAGGAACAGACTAATTTCTGATGGTGACAAGTGCCGTGGAGTGTCTAAACAGGTTGAAATGACAGTGATTGAGGGTGATTGCACTTAAGGTGGTCAGGGAAGGTTTCCTCTAGGAGGTGACATCTGAGGTGAAGTGTGAAGCGGGGACAATCAGTTCTAAGCAGGTAGGGAAACGCCCTCCAAGCAGAAAGGACAGCTGTGAATGGGCTAGATGGTGGGAATGAGTGCTGGGTATTTGAAGAATGACCCACTTTGGGTGAGAAGGGGAAAAGGGTGCAGAGCTGGTCATGTGGGGTCCTTTGGCCACGGGAGCTGTCTCAATGTTATTCTAAGTGGAATGGGAACTCACCGGAAAGCTTTAAGCAGGCCTAACGACATAATAGGATTAAAAATAATGATCTGGGCTGTATATGCAAAACGGATTTTAGGGAAGGCAGGCTAGAGGCAGGGAGGCCAGTTAGGAGATACCTGCTAGGAGTCGAGACAAGAGAAAATAGTGGCTTGAGCTCGGCGGGGGCCAGAGGCACCCGCTCTGGCGGGAATGGCTGGTGCCCTGAGTGTGGGAGATGAGCAAAAGGGGGCAATCCAGGCTGGCTGTCAGGCATTTTGGCTCAAGCACTGACTAGAGCCATTTACTGAAATGGGAGACGGTGGCGGAGAAATGCGATGAGAGGTGTTTAAACTCCCGCGCCCTGCTTTCCTACACTCTCCTCCAGGAAGGATAGCTGGGGCCGGAGTGGTCACCATGTTGTTAAAGTGAAGAGCTGTTGGTAATCATTCATTGAGATGAAGAGGTTACTCCGGTTCCTTAATTTCTGGCCGGTTAACCCCGAGTGAGGGCTCATAGGATAATGATCATTGTGAACTGGAATCAGCTTGTTGAAGCTTATTTCAATAAAGAAGTTAATATCAAGAGGAAAAAATTTATGTGTACATTGGAATCAGACAAATTGTACCACCTCCTGAGAGATGAACATTTTCAAATTAGAGAACAGCTGAAGAAGTACAACAGAGGATTAATAAACCATATTGACAAATGAATGTCATGTTGACAAATGTGGCTTTCATTCGAGGTGTGCTTTATAATTTTTAAGGCAGTGAACTCTTAGAGATAGAAACTTTATAGCATCACTTCCCAATACACTGGGAAAAGAGATTCCTAAATTGGAGAAAAAATCTAATTGTTCCCAAATTTGTGGGCGCTGCTCAATTAATTTCATCACGAAGTTGTAAAAATTATCACAACTTGGCTCTCCCATGTCCACGGCGACGCTAAATTACTAAACAAAGCTTACTCTTTCTTCCTTTTTTTCTCCCAAGAGAATATGCATCGTTAAAGTCTCCCCTCCCACCGCCGTCATGTCTAAGTCAGAGTCTTCAAAGAGCCTGAACAGCTGCAGAAGCTCTTCATCGGTGGTTTGAGCTTTGTGAAACAACCGATGAGAGTCTGAGGAGCCATTCTGAGCAATGGGGAACGCTTACGGACTGTGTGGCAAAGCGTACTCTTTCAATCCAAGGTACCAAGGGATGAGAATCTTTCGAATTTTCTTCTGTAGTTCTCCTCAAAGCACCTTACCCTCTTTCTTGGCAAACTGTTCTATCAAAAGACAAATTACTTTTTTCAGAGAACGGCAATTAAATGCTTCTAGAAAGCAAGCTTGAGAGTACACAGTGAAATTCATTTTGTAAGAGTTTTCAAGACAATCTCATACACTGAGGGAAAAACCTGCTCATTCATTTGGCACACAATTAAAAGATTTCACAATATCCATAATTTACATGATCCTCATACTTGGGAGTAAAGGTGATGCCAGGTTCTTACAGACACAAAGCCTCCTGAAACAGCACCAGGGAAAGAACTTAAAGTGCCTTAAGGTAATTCTGAGTATTTTGTTGGTTCAATCTCCCTATGTAGTCATGGTCCCAGGGGGAAGGAGTAATCAGAGGCCTTGAAGGAAAAAGGTTTGCTCTATAACCAGCCTATAACCTATAACCCTGGGGCTCCTCTGCCCGGCTGCCCCCCCTAGAGCCCAACTGTCAGGATCACTCCATGCCAGTGGGGGGCACACACAAGCAGGCTGCTTTGTCACCTCTTTCAAGACTGAATTAAAAATAGAGCTACCCTATGACCCAGCAATTGCACTCCTGGGTATTTACCCCAAAGACACAGATGTAGTGAAAAGAAGGGCCATATGCACCCCAGTGTTCATAGCAGCAATGTCCGCAATAGCCAAACTGTGGAAGGAGCCAAGATGCCCTTCAACAGACGAATGGATAAAGAAGATGTGGTCCATATATACAATGGAGTATTACTCAGACATCAGAAAAGATGAATACCCAACTTTTACATCAACATGGATGGGACTGGAGGAGATGATACTAAGTGAAGTAAGTCAAGCAGAGAAAGTCAATTATCATATGGTTTCACTTATTTGTGGAACCTAAGGAATAGCGTGGAGGACATTAGGAGAAGGAAGGGAAAAATGAGGGGGGGGAATCAGAGGGGGAGACGAACCATGAGAGACTATGGACTCTGAGAAACAAACTGAGGGTTCTAGAGGGGAGGGGGGTGGGGGGAAGGGTTAGCCTGGTGATGGGTATTAAAGAGGGCATGTATTGAATGGAGCACTGGGTGTTATACGCAAACAACAAATCGTGGATCGCTACATCAAAAACTAATGATGTATTGTATGGTGACTAACATAATAAAATAAAATTAAATTAAAAAAAAAAGACTGAATTACAGGAGAGGCTGCTTTCTCTTTCCAACTGTCAGTCTTCTTTTTCTCTTATTAACAGAAGGCTTGAGAACCAGGAGAAGTCGCCATGAGCTTGGCACAGGAAAATGGCCTGACTGTAGGGAGAAGGTCCCCGTGCCCTCTGCCCTGGTTCTAGAGGGACTTGCTGTACAGGCACTCCTTTTTCCTCTCTTACGTCCTGGTTTCAGGAACCGTTATTTTTCCTTCCTCAATCTGCTTTGTATCTTTTTTTTTTTTAATTTATTTATTTGAGAGAGAGAGAGAGAGAGAAACAGCATGAGAGGGGAGAAGGTCAGAGGGAGAAGCAGGCTCCCCGCTGAGCCGGGAGCCCGATGTGGGACTCGATCCCGGGACTCCGGGATCATGACCTGAGCCGAAGGCACTCGCTTAACCAACTGAGCCACCCAGGCGCCCCCAATCTGCTTTGTATCTTTTTGGATTTTTTTTTCACATCAAAGGCGAACATTTTGTTTTAGAGGTCTAAATGATAATTAACTCAAAAGCTGATTTTTGTGTTTTTTAAACATGAAGATCAACAGAGAATGTATCATTAAAAAATAACCAGGGGAGACTCTTAACTATAGGAAACAAACTGAGGGTTGCTGGAGCAGGGATGGGGGGGTGATGGGCATTAAGGAGGGCACGTGATGTGATGAGCACTGGGTGTTATATGCAACTGATGAATTACTGAACTCTCCATCTGAAACTAATGATATACTATATGTTGGCCAATTGAATTTAAATTTAAAAAAAAAGAAAATATACATTTTTTTTTTTGCATTGCCGAAGTTTACCACTACATTTCAGAACAATTATTGAGTGTCATAAACTGGATTTCTGATGAAGAGTGAAAAGAGGAATAAATATTAGTATAATCAGAGTGTTCTGGTATTTGGATTACTTTTGACTTTCCCACTGGTTTTGGAGGTCACTGACAACAATAGTAACCAAAAATCAAAAGAATACATTGTTCCTAGTTCAATTAACCTGTATCTCTCCAGGAGTATTTTTATCTTGCTACATGAAATGTTATCAGATGATATGGTCTTGTGCTGAGTTGTGTTTTTGTTTTTATCTTTGTTTAATTTCTTTTGGTACAGTACTATCTAATTACTGATTAATTGGTGCTGCAAATTCAAATCCTTATAATTAAACATGAAGAGATGATACACAAAGTAGAATTTGTTACACTTTGAGAAAACTGCCGCAAAGGTCTTCTGGTAGATTTAGAGTTGCTGAGGGGGGAAAAAAACCCTCTAGAGGTGATGTTAAATATTCTTTCCTAATTTGAAATTGAATTTGAATCTACTGTTGAATACCCTATCAATCACATGTTTGCAAAAGGCCGAGACCTTTCTCAATCTTTTTTTTTTTTCAATTAATTTTTCCTCCCAGACTTAGTTGAGTATTATGGAACTTAATAATATTTAAAACTATTTTAAAATAACAGTAATATTTGTTGCCATTCTATACATGATTTGTCCCTGGATGGATGGATGAATAGGATTTCAAGATGAGAGATTCACATTTCAGGCAAGAAAGCAGGCAAGTCTTTGTTTTGCAATATGCTTAGGTGTCCTATTTGAAGGATGTAGTGGGTGATGAGAGAGGACAGAGCCTGGGCCAGTTCCTGTGGCCTCATGTGCCAGGCTAACTGATTTGTCGTATACTTTTAAGCAGAGAGAAGCCACTGAACATTCATGAACCTGGGAGAGGAAGAGATAATCAATCTATCTCTATTTTAGAAATGGATCAAAACTGAAAATGTATGGAAGGGGAACAGAGTAAAGGTAGGCTATTTAGCTATTTTTAGTTAGTCTTAACTCAAACCCAAAGTATCAGATGAAGCAACAACTATTCCTCTAT